CTATTGAGCCCATTGTTGAAAATGCTATTGTTATACATGCTACCGATAGTGTTATTGATAATATTGACAATGCTAGTGATGTGCAATTGGATGACAATGTTTTGGACCCAAAGAGCAAGGCTGTTGTTGTAAATGAGGGACAAACCATGGCAACTCCATTGACCCTAATGCATCTGTTAGTCCCGGTTGTACTGGATACAGTCTAGAGGAGGGGTGAATAGACTGTATTGGTTTTTAACTTTTTCAAGCTAAGTACCAGATTTAACAGATTAGCATGTTCTGGTGGCAGAACAGACTGGCCGCGGATGGGGTTCTGGTAGGGGTTCTGTTAGTTTAGCCTCAGAGAATCAAAGGCAGTAGGCCTTCTGTTAACTCACAAGATAAGTTCTGCTGAACACAGAGACCAAGTCTTTGGAGTTAAACAGTTCAAATAAAAACGATAAATGAATGCAGTAAGTAAATGACACCAGGGCTTTTTATAGTGGTTCAAGGAACAACTTGTTCCTCTAGTCCACTGTTCCACTAAGCTTGTAAAAACGACTGTTTACAACGTCTTAGTCCTATCACTTAAGAAGCTCTCCACGTCTTCTTCAAGTGTAGATGTCTCCTGGGATGCACTTCTTGGCTTCCTTTAAGACTGGTCCTTTCACTGAGCTTTCCCGGAAGTATCACCATTTCATTGCTCCAACTTGCTTCGTTACAAAGGATTTGTAGATGAAGAGCTTGAAGAGTTGAAGAACGACTAGAACTTTGCTTGAGTTGGAAGTAAGAATCTTTCCAACGTCTGCCTTCTCTTGTAGAAGATGATGAATATTTAATCTCAAGGAGGCTTTTTGCGTTTTTGGCGTTTGAATGTTTTGTATGCGCACTGTTGAAGCAAAGTTATCTGGTTGTTCTTCGTAGTGTATCTTTTATACTGAGGTTGTCTTCTCGTTGGAGGAGAAGGAGGACAACTGCATTAAATGTGCGAGCAGTTGACTTGACCAGTAGGACCCAGCAAAGTTGGCGGGTTACTATTTTGGGATAAAGCAATCCTGACATTGCGGCCAATCATCTACATTTACTCTACAGAGTACGGGAGGAATTAAATGTGCATTTAATGCGCGTACTGTAGCTTTTCCGTTCAAGACTCCTAGCCGTTTAAGGAATCTTCAAATGGTTCACCGGCTTGGTGAAATTCTCTAAGTGTCAGGCCTTCTGGCGTCTTCAGCAGAGAGTCGGTCAGAGAAGGTCTTGAGCACTTCTTTTGGAGAAAGTTATCAGAGACTCTTGAGGGTTTCTGTTGAAGAATTCTCCAACAGAGAACCAGGAGGTTTTCTGTCTGTGTAAAGGTTAACAGAGACCCTGAGGTCTTCTGTTCTGAAGCAGAGAGCCAAAGATCTTCTGTTAAAACAAAGCCTATCAAAGGGTCTTCTGTCAGGAGGTCTTCTGTTCTGGAGGCCTTCTGCTCTGGAGGCCTTCTGCCAGTCGACTATACTAAAGAACTTTACAAGGAAAATCCTAAAACATTAAATCAAAAGAGGGGTACTCTAAAGTCCTAATTAATATAGCATCATCAAAATCTAATTACAAATATTCCTTACAATTTCCCCCTTTTTGATGATGCCAAAACCCTTTAACTATTTCCAGAGAAGTGCCTTCACCATAAAGAGTTAAAGTTTTAAAACTTTCATTAAAATCATGGTGGGCAACTTGGCATAGGAAAATAGTAAGAGTACAGTACATTCAGATAGCAGATAAGAGTAAAAAGAGAGCAAACAAACAAAAACAAAAAGCAGAGACAGATATGAAGGAATTGCCTTACAAAGTGAGAGGCAGAGATGTTCTTTTATTAAGGATAGTTTACAAGGATATCCGATTACATAATAGCCCTTGCAGCTTCAGCTCTTGCTTGTTCATCCAATCCTTGTAGCCTTTTCAACTCTGCATTCACCTCTTCTCTGATCCCAATGAGATTTCCAGATCTCTGGTAAGAAGCCCAAACGGGTGAGAGCATGCAGTCTAGGTAGCTAAGGACACCTTCATGAATGTTCTTTCCTGGAAGGATGCTGTTATGGTAGCAAAATTCTGCCTCCTCCAGAGATCCACCATGTCTGACCTTTACATGACCATCATTGTCCAGATAAAGGTTCTGTTGCTGTGTAGAGGTCATCTTCTGTTTCATTTCCTCAAATTGGTTTTTGGTCATCACCTGAGATCCTCCCAGTCTCCATTATTTAAATCTCAGTGCTTTCTTCTTCTTAGAACCTTTCTTCTGTGGAGATGGAGGTCTAGGGATACCAGCTAGCCTTTTCTTCTGGAGGGCAGCTTCAAAATAAGGAGTGGGATCCACAGCTGGTTCAGCAGATGATGAGGCTCTGGTGGTCCTAGGTTTGGACTGATGAGGATCTTCTTCCCCCTTTTTGGCATCATCTAGATCACCAATCAGGAGGGAGAGTTTCTAGAATTCTGTGGCTTGTGTAGAGGCAATCTGTTCAAGGGTTTCTGACAAGGTTTGAGTAACAGATGTGAGGCCTTCAATCAGCCCTTGTTGTCTCTGGATAGCAGAGAGGACATCTTTGTTGCTGGCTTCTAATAGGACCATCTTCTGATAACGTTCTTTGTCTGCAACTAGAAGAAGTTGTCCTTGGGTAGAATGCTCTTTGCAGAGGGTGTTGAGTTCTTGTAACCTTTCATGAAGAATGGAGTCAGATTTCTGAAGAGATGCAACTGCCTGGGAAAGGGTTGTAAGTGTGGTATGTTGGGAGTTCAAGGTCTGATTCATGGATGATAGGACTGTCTTGATAATATCCACTTCAGTAGAGACAACATCAATCTTGAAATTTGATGAAGTCATGAAGTTCTGAAGAACATTTGTCAAAGTAGGAGACATGTGCTTGAAGCCTGATTTAACATTTTCATCCACCTGTGTCAGACCCTCATAATGTTTATCATTGATCATTATGAGCTTGTTCATGCCTTCTAACATCTGACCTCCAAAGTCCTCTGCTGCAGCTACAAAATCATTGAAGGGTATCTGATCCTCTTGTCCAACAGAATGAGGCAGCCCTAAGCCTCTTCCCTTAGGCAAGGGGTGATGTTCTTGGACAGAGGAGAAGGATTGGACAAGCATTTCATGCTCGAGTTGAGTCAGAGGGGGGGTCTTCTGTCTCTTGGAAGTAGCTTGGTTGGACTTGCTGACAATGAAGCCCTCCATGTCAGAGGAGTCCTCGTAGGAGGAGTAAATTGGGATTCTGTTCCGGATCACCCTTTTCTTTATGAGAAAAGAACGATTGGGGGCAGTAGAATGCCTAGAGTAGCTTTGAGGTGCAGAGATAGGGGAGATAGTTGTAGGATCAGAATCTCTTAGGAACCAGACTGGTTTTAGCTGAGTTGTGGGTTGATGTGGTGGAAGAGAAGCTTGTTGGGTATTCTGATGCTCAGACTTGTGAGTTGTAGGGGATTTCTGTTGAGATGGTTGAGATGAGAAGATGATCTATTGAGGTTGGGTTTGAATAATTTGGCGTTGAGGAGATGGGGGAGGGGGAGGGGATCTGTTCTTTGAGGGAGTGAACAGTTTGCAGGATGAAGAAGGTTTAGATTTGGGGGTTGGAGATTTTTGGGGAGTGGGGGTTTTCTGTTCAGATGAGGGTTTCTGATGTTGTGAAGAGGTGTTCGGTTGGGGGATTGGGAGTATATGCACAGAGGGAGATTTGGGAATAAGGGGTTCTGTTGGAATATGTACAGAAGGAGAAGAAGGTATTACCTCAAGTACGGTTCCTTCGATCAGAGATGCTCTCCACTAAGCTTGCAAAAATCCAATTACAAAGCCTTAGTCCTAGCACTTAAGAAGCTCTCCACGTCTTCTTCAAGCCTAGATGTCTCCTGGGATGCACTTCCTTGCTTCCTTTAAGACTGGTCCTTTCACTGAGCTTCCTTGAAGTATCACCACTTCACTACTCCAGTTACTTGGACGTCCTTCTCGTTAGAGAAGAGTTCTTGAAAGAACAGGGGTTTTCCAACTAGCTTCGTTACAAAAGGTTTGTAGTTGAAGTGCTTGAAGAGTTGAAGAACAGTTGGAACTTTTCTCTTGTTGGGGATATGAAGATAGAAAAAGATATCTTCCCAACGTACGCCTTTCTTGTTGATGAAGATGGAGATTTTGATCTCAAGAAGGCTTGTGCGTTTGAATGTTTGAATGTTTTTGTCTGAGCACAGGGTTTTCAAAGTATTAGCAAAAGTTATCCGGTTGTTCTTCGAGTAGTATCTTTTATACTAGGGTTGTCTTCCCGTTGGAGGAGGAGGACAACTGCATTAAATGCGCGAATAATTGATTTGACCAGTAGGACCAGGTAAAGTTGGTGGGTTACTATTTTGGGATAAAGTTATTCTGAAATATCCTGGAATGTCGACCAATCATCAGCTTTTACTCTTCAGGGTACGGGATGCATTAAGTGTGCATTTAATGCGTGTACTGTAGCTTTTCCGTTGAAGTCTTCTAGCCGTTGAAGAAATCTTCCGTTGGTTTCACCGGCTGAAGAAGTTCCAGAAAAATCCTCTAAGTGTCAGGCCTTCGGGTGTCTTCAGCAGAGGATCTGCCAGAGAAGGTCTTGACCACTTCTGTTGGGATAAGCTATCAGAGGGTCCTGAGGTCTTCCGTCGATAGGCGAACCAATAATGAGTCTTAATAGTGATGTCCAACAGAGAACCAGGAGGGTTTCTGTACGAGTAAGAGCTAACAGAGACCCAGAGGTCTTCTGTCTGAATTAAAGTACAGCAGAGGGCCAAAGGTCTTCTGTCCGGAAGTCTTCTGTCAGTCGACTATACTAAAACATATGCAAGGAAAAATCTAATACAATCAAAGGGGTACTCTAAAGTCCTATAGCATCATCAAAATCTAATTACATTTATTCCTTACAATTTCCCCCTTTTTGATGACACCAAAACCCTTTAACTATTTCCAGAGAAGTGCCTTCACCACAAAAGAATTAAAGTATAAAACTTCATTCAAATCTTTGGTGGGCAACTTAGCATAGGAAGATAGTAAGAGTACAGTACATTCAGATAGTAGATAATAACAAAATATACTGAAAACAATTAAAAAACAAGCAAAAGAGACAGATTGTGAGTAATTGCCTTACAAAGTGAAAGGCAGAGTTGTTCTTTTATTGACATAAGGTTTACAAGGGTAATCCTTTACAGATTTTCCCTTGCTGCCGCAGCCAAAGCTTCATCTTCCCGTTCTTGCAATCTCTTTATCTCTGCATTGACAGCTTCTCAAATTCCTACAAGATTGTCAGTGCTCTGATGTGAGGCCCAGATAGGTGAGAGCTTGCAATCCAGATAACTAAGGACACCCTCATGAATGTCCTTTCCCAGAAGAATTTTGTTGAGATACCAAAATTCAGCTTCTTCCAAGGAACCACCATGTCTGACCTTTACAAGACCATCTCTGTCAAGATATAGGTTCTGCTGCTGAGTGGGAGTCATCTTTTGTTTCATCTCATCTAACTGGGATTTATCAATCCTTTGAGATCCACCCAATCTCCAATCTCTTAAACTCAGAGCCTTCTTTTTCTTAGATCCTTTCTTCTGTGGAGATGGGGGCCTAGAAATGCCAGCTAAACGCTTCTTCTGAATGGCAGCTTCAAAATATGGTGCAGGATCAACAGCTGGTTCAACATAAGAGGATACTCTGCCAGAAGTTCTGATAGGGCGAGGCTTAGGATGTTGGGGTCTTCTTTCCCCTTTTTGGCATCATCTAGATCACCAATCATGAGAGAGAGTTTCTGGAATTTTGACGCTTGAGTAGAAGCAATCTGTTCGAGGGCTTCTGGTAGAGTCTGTGTAACAGATGTGAGTCCCTCTATCAATCCTTGCTGCTTCTGAATAGCAGAGAGGATATCTTTGTTGTTGGCTTCCAAAAGGACCATCTTCTGATACCTTTCTTTGTCAGCGGTCAGGAGTAACTTGCCTTGGTCAGAGTGTTCTCTGCAAAGGGTGTGAAGGCTCTTGAGGTTCTCTTCGATTTGAATATCAGACCTCTGTAGGGAGTTAACAGCCTGAGATAAGGAGGTTAGAGTGGTATGCTAGGAGTTCATAGTTTGATCCATGGATGAGAGAACGTTCTTGATAGTGTTCACTTCAGTGGAGATGGCATCAACCTTTGCATTGGATGAGGTCATGAAGTTGTGTAGTGAGGTTGCAAGGGTGTCTGATAGGTGCTTGAAACCAGATTCAAGAGTTGCATTGACCTGTGTCAGATGCTCATAGTGTTTATCATTGATAAGGACCAGCTTGTTCATCCCATCCAGCATTTGTCCACCAAAATATTCTGCTGCACCCATAAATTCATTGAAGGGAATCTGTTGCTCTTCTCCTGCAATCCCAAGCATCTCTAAGCGTCTTCCCTTAGGCATAGGATGGTGTTCTTGTACAGATGGCCTAATTTTTTAAGTGTATGAAGATGAAACCGGGTGAGAAGATCTGACACATATTTGGCCTGAGACAAAAATAAACCAGAAGAATGCTGCACAGCTTGAACCCCCAAGAAAAAATGAATATCCCATAAATCTTTCATAACAAAATATTCCCCTAGTAGAGAAATAAAAGTACTAATAAGAGTAGAGGAACTGCCAGTGATAATAATATCATCCACATATAAGAGCAAATAAATGATTCGTGTAGCCTGACGAAAAATAAACAAGAAATTATCAGCACGACTACATACAAATCCATGAGTGAGGAGAAAACTACTGAACTGATGAAACCATGCCCGGGGAACCTGTTTAAGACCATAAATGGCCTTGCGCAAGCGACAAATGTGATTAGGAAATTGAGGATGAACAAACCCGCGTGGATGACACATGTAAACCTCTTCTGTGAGATGACCATGGAGAAAAGCATTTTTAACATCTAACTGACGAATAGGCCAATTAAAAGAAACAGCTAATGTAAGAACAATGCGAACCGTGGTGGGTTTAACAACAGGACTAAAAGTTTCAGAGAAATCCACCCCAGCTTGTTGCTTAAACCCTTGGGCAACCAGACGTGCTTTATGACGTTCAATAGAGCCATCAGAACGATACTTAGTTTTATAAATCCAATTAGACCCAACAAAAAATTTGCTAGAGTCAAACGGTACTAGATCCCACGTTTTATTAGCGATAAATGCATTAAATTCCTCAGCCATAGCTGCTCTCCATTTAAGATCCTTATTAGCCATAGAAAAACAAGTTAGATCAGGAACCAAAACCTCAGTGTTCAAATTAAAAATAGTTTTGGGTTTGAAAATTCCTGATTTAGAGTGAGTTTGCATGGGATGAATATTTTGAGTCAAGGAGGTGCCCGAAACCGGAACATGAGTAACCTATTCACCGCCAACCTGCGAGGATTCGACGGAAGCAGTGCTTGCCGGCGAAGCTGGGGAAGACGGAGCATCCGTCGGCGAAGCTAGCTGCCGAGCCGAAGAAGCTGATGTTGGTGAAGAGGCATGCATCGAATGAGATGAACCGGTTTCTAAGGAAAAATCCAGCGGGGGTAGCTGTGGCACAGTAGCGGCGGACGACACAGGAAACGACCGAGAAAGGGACAGAGGACAAGGCTGCACGGTGGAGACCTCAGGGAGACTTTGTGACACTAATTGAGAATAGGGAAAAATGTCTTCGTGAAACCTAACATGACGACTAATATAAACCCTACCGGTTTTAGGATCTAAACAACGATAGCCCTTGTATTCAGAGGCATAACCCAGAAAGACACACTGAACAGAACGAGGAGATAATTTATTTGCTGACGTGGCAGTAAAATTCGGATAGCATGCACATCCAAACACACGCATAAAAGAGAAGTCAGGAATCCGGTGAAATAATTTTTGATAAGGAGAGATGCCTGTAAATTTTGTGGAGGGTATGCGATTGATAATAAAAGTAGCAGTCAAAATTGCCTCAACCCAAAAAGTGGCTGGCATACCAGCATCAATAAGCATAGTCTGGGCTAGCTCAAGTAAATGTCTATGTTTACGTTCAGCTAGACCATTTTGCTGAGGAGTATCATGACAAGATTTTCTAAAAAGAATTCCATTAGTATTAAAAATTGACCGCATATTAAAATTATCAAACTCACCCCCTTCATCACTTTGAAAAATTTTAATTTTATGATCTAATAAATTCTCCACCAGATTTTTGAAGGATTGAAAATGATGAAAGACTTCACTTTTACGACGCATGGGGTAGATCCAAGTAAAACGAGAAAAATCATCAATAAAAGAGACATAATATTTGAACCCAGATGTAGATAAAATAGGAGATTGCCAAACATCAGAATGTATTAAAAATAACGGTTTACTAGCACTATGAAAAACATCCTGAAAGGGTAATCTCTGTGATTTACCCAATCTACACGAAGAACAATCATGATTAAAAGAAGACAAACTACAAAGTTGACCAGACTTTTTAAGAACATCTAAGACTCGACTACCACAATGTCCCAAGCGATGATGCCACAGTGGTCCAGGCACCGCGCTAGAAACTAAAGCCAAAGCTGATGAAGAAGATAAACGAATGGGATAAAGACTGTCGCTACTAGAAGCTCTGAGAAGAGTTGCCCCCGTTGTTTTGTCCTTAAGCAAAACAGAATTTTTGTCAAAAATAACCATGCAATTATTGTGAGAACATAATTTTTGGATGGATAATAAATTATATTTTATTTGAGAAACGTGATAAACAGATCTTAAATGGAGAGTCCTTGAAAGAGAATTAATAGAAATATCACCAATATTTTTAATGGGTAAACTAGTGCCATTTGCAACAGTAACATTAAGTGGTCCAGAATAAATAGATTTATTAACTAAGTTACCTTCCTTAGCGGTCATATGCGCAGAAGCCCCGAAATCTGGAAACCAGACAGCGTCATTAGCATCACCCATGGGTGCAGCAAGAGCTGGAGCAGTGGGCTGAGTGAAACGTCAAGGACATGAAACTGCAGAAGGACCTGGGGAATAGCAAATTTGACAAACAACTGACGGTGGAATGGAACCAAACTGTCCATCAACTAAAGGTGAGCCTGCATAGCCATGGTTAGGACCATAAACAAAATAGGGATGCGCGTTTAACGATGAAAATACCGAATTACATAAAACTGAACCTGGGCGTCCGTGAGATGTGGAGGCTGAATAGTGCCCCTGTGGATAGTAGTCGACCGCTGCTTGTTGTCCCGAACGCTGCTGTCCACCGTACCCCTGTTGTCCGTGTCCTGGTGGGCCATACGGCTGCTGTCCGTACCCAGGTGGACCAAACGGTGGTTGGCCGTAACCATGTTGGCCATAATTTTGGCCTCTGCCGCGAGATCCCCGGCCGTGACCCCTCCTGCCACGCCCCCGAGCAAACTGTGCACCACCACGGGCTTCTTGTCCCGAACCAGCGTGAGCTTGAGGATGAGGTTGAGTAGCAAACGCCACAGGTGATGGAGGAGCCTCTTGAGAACGAAGATAGGCGAGGCGGTTCTCCTGCTCAACTAGCTTGGTCCATAATTTGTCAAAAGTAAGGCCCTCGGGAAAAGTAGGGCTGGATTCGGTTCGGTTACCGAACCGAAAATGAGAAAAACCAAACCTAGTAAAAATGGCAGCCCTAGGGAAAAGTAGTCAAAGTAGTGATAATGGACTCATAATCCGGACCCAAACCTAGTAAAGTTTGCTCAAGAAGATCTTTCATGGAGAAAGGGGAATTAATTGTGGCCAAGGCATCAACAATTTTCTGGATTTCACGCATGTACTGTTCCATGGATTGATTTTCTTTCTTTTTAGTAGTAGTGAACAAGCGTTTTAATTCCATAGAACGAGCCATACTGGCTGCCATAAAGCGAGATTCTAGACGTTTCCAGATGGTAGCAGAAGTGCATAGAGTATGAACCTCAACAAGTATATCACAAGATAAAGTAGCAAACAGTCAAGAATGAACTGTGTCTGATCTAACTTTAACCAATAATAGTACTCATTGTTCACAACTTCTCTACGTAAAGCATCAAAAATAAATTGAGGAGGGGTAGCAATAGTACCATCGAGAAAGCCTAGGAGTCCATGTGATACCAGAAAAGATTCGAACTGAGTACGCCAGGGCAGATAACGACAGCATCCAGCTTTGTAGTAACAATATTGGTGACATTCGGTGTCGAAAACCCCATAGACTGTGCAATTGCTTCCAAAGAATTCTGTTGGGTAACTGTCGTCCTGCCTATTGGCCAAAAAACAGGAGGTGGAGCCAGCCCCTATGCACCAACGAATGTGGGGCCTCCAAATTGAGTTCGCGGAAGCGGCTGTACATCAGCCTCCAACCGAAGAGGGCGTCGTGCTATTGCTGGAGAGGACCAATCAAAAGTAGGTGGAATCCATGCCGAATCATGAATATACGGATGACTGGTCGGCAACGAAGCGGAAAACGAGGGCTGCACCAGGTCAGAGTTGGAGCCGAATGTCAGAGAAGTCGAAGCTGATGCCGGAGAATACGTGTTCGGCATAGTCACTGGATTAGGCGCTGCCACAGTGACGGGCGTTGCCATGCCCTGCGGTGCTGCCGTCGTAGACGGCGCTGTAGTTGGAGTAGAGGCGGCGGAAGTCGACGCCATGAGAGAGAAGAAAAAAAAAATAGGTTATAATTTTGGCTCTTGATAACATGTGAGAATAATGAACAGGTTTAACCAGACTGGTAGCCCTGAGAGTATATTTACAGGTAATAAGTGTCCAATTACAATAAGGAAACTGACTAATAATTAATTTCTAATTATTTCACTATTAATATCTACACCAAACAGTGCAAAACATTGTCAAACAATGCATTTTATGTGTGAAGTTAAAGTGTAAACTTCGTTAAGAAGAGGATGAGTAGTAAAAACGGAATCTTCTTACTTTAGAGGAGGCATGAGCTTAGGTAGCGTTCATGTGAGGTTCCTGTTGTGTTTTGAATGTACCAATGAAATGGGAAGCGTTGATAGATAGATATTGGGACTGCACCCTAATTTGACCAAACCCTCGCTCGATATATATTTTCTATCCTCTGCTCAGCTAGCCGCAGCAGCTACTATAGCTCCATCGGCCCGACCGGCCTCCATAGCATTATTTAATTATTAAAAGCTCAAGTGAAATTTTATTCTGTACATGAAGCTAGCATCTCTGCATCTATATCTTAAAGTAAAGTGATGAGATTTCTTTCTTTTCCATTCTTTACTTAGCTGAATTGGACAATAACGAGCAAACTAAGTGAGAGAGGCGTAGGTAGCTACAAGGAACGTGCAGTGGGCAAGCTAGCTTAACCCAGACCAGGCCACACATATTAATTTCATGACGGTACACTTCCTTCCGACCGCACTTACCCATTCATTTTCAGAATATAATCATAATAATTTAATTGCCATTTTAGATGTGGATCCAAACATATTCCTGCGCTGCTAAC